TTTTGAAGCTCATGCAAATCTTGAAATGGATCCAACATCACAGAGGATTTCTTATCTTACTATCTTTAATTAAGTAACGGAAGATTATAACATGAAAGTTGACCTTTATAAGTTAATGGGTTTTGGCGAGAAAATGGTTACTGTGGAAGTTGTTTTTCTTCCGCAAAGTAAATTATAAATTTTCTTGCATATTATCTATAGTCGTTTCCTATGTTGGTCGCTATTTCAGTGCCTTATTTAAAAGATCACTCACTACTCGACTCTGGTATATTCCAGGTGATGACAAAATGAACCGATTTAGTTGCTTCACAGTTTCGTTCATGATTTCAATGCCATAAACAACTGGCCCAGTTTTTATTATCAAGGTAAATCCATACATGTTGGTGATAAACTCTGTGTATTTGCAGATAGATACTACTGTTTGTACGTTATGAGTAACTAAGCATCTGGTACTGGGAGACAGCTGTATATTGTGTTACCAGCACAGGAGTGATTTTGGAAAGAAAAAAAAAGCTACAATAGCAGGCGGTTCATCAAAAAAAGGTGCTAACAGAAACAAGCACTTGCTGTGTGGTTCATTCAAACCGTTTAATGAGATGTTGTTCAGGAACCAAAGTTGTAATTTTGCTGTATTAGTATAACGTGTGAAGAAGCCTTTCTAGAAACGACGTAACTTGGAAGGAGTAATGTTACATTCGGTTACCTAAGTCAACATGGATTTGGTGGTAGAAACAAGGCAATAAAACTGCACTTTGTTATCCCACAAACCCTGGGAAAGTTGCTGTTAAGACAAGTATGGATATAATCTAGTGTGTTATTCTATGAAATACGAACGTATATATATATATATATAGTCAAGGTAGTAACAATGCTTTGTTGCCCATCTAACAATGGATTTTATCGTGCATCAGAATTTATTATCACTGCTTTGGGTAATATAGTATTACCAATCAAAGTTAGAAACTTTTTATTATGCTTTTTTATCACTAGGAGGCCTTGTTTTTCCTCGAGTAGCACCCCCTTTCCATATTTAGTGCTATATTGTTAAGGAAAATAATTACATTGCATTTCAGCTAAATGAATTGAGAAATGAATCCAAATATCCACTTATTGATTTTTGTTTTTCATTTTGGTTATAATACCACTGTTAATTAAACCTTTTCAACTTTGTAACATATAAACCTCTTTTATTTGACCCAAAGACAATTCTGACAAGACTGTTAATCAAGAAATTGGAAGGAAATATATTTCTTTAAATTCGAGCAATTATTGTGCTCCCGGAGATACCTGCTACAGGAACAAGACGATAGTAGATATAGGCAGTCCAATGAACCCCAATATTAATTATAAGGTATTGAAACATTTATTGGGGCTTACAAAAGTAAATATACAACATTAACTTGCCGTTTGAAAAGTTGTCCATATCGATCTCACAAGACTTCAAGAACCTGTAATAATGGAAAACACAAATCGATGTTAGCTTACGATTCATTACAATGAATATTAATAATTTTAGTCCTAGCATTATTATTAGGACTAAAAATAATTTTTCCTTCAGCCAATACAAATGGGATTTCATTACAAAAAACATGCAACAGAACATTCGTCTATTACGAAGAAACTGTTTTGGTTAATATGGCTGTAGCTAAGCTAATATCGCCTTTTGTTTTTCATTTTTCCATATTGATTGAAAAAAAAATGCTTTTCAAGTAAAATAGTGTTGTATCGTTTCGAGAAAGTGTTCAGGTTGTTTAGAAAAATAGCTAACTTTGCCATTACACACACACACAGTATTAAGAATAACTGGTAAACTGGAGTAGTTGTTCCGTTTCTGTAATGTTGTACTAACTTATTAGCAAGTACGTCAACGTAGCACGAGGTTTGCAAATATAAAAAAAAACCTTGTTTATAATATCATGTATGAATTACATATTACTATGTTATTTTGTGAGACCTTGCAAAAGAAACGTTCAAATCATATTAAGCTATTAGCACATACTGGTAGACTTAAATTTACGAGGATTGGGCCTTCGCTGCTTTTATTATTCATGTATACTCTAAACTTAATCTGATCAAGTGTATTTGAGTTGGAGAAAGAAATTAGTCATATTTTGAGAACAGTTAATAAAGAGTCGTATTTATTTCTACAAGTAAATTGAGAGGACCATGCTGAGGTACATTACCACTGGCAATATTTTTGCTCATAAAGCATGATCATTCACACGTTCACCAGTTAGTGAAGTGAATAACATGTTGAGACATGTTACTGATAGTTATGTATGGTATTCATACATTAATATTACGTTTGAAGAACATCAGTAGACAAAATGGCGTCTTACTTACATCTGTTATTACACGCCAAGGTTTTTTTTTAACCACAAGTGTTTAGTTCAATAGGATATTAATAAAGATATTAATTTATGATTATTTGTGGATGATGAATAAAACCGGTTTGGTTATTGAAGTTTAACCCGTGGATTTTGTGATTATTTTTGGTATTAAAATACGTCTTTGGCAAGCTTACACTCAAAAGTTTCATTAGTAAGGAATATACGACATTGGAAGCGATATTCAATTTGGGGTCAGGCGATCTGGTTTAAGATTATTACGAGTAACAAACACATCGATCTGTGGTGCGATTAACGAAAAACAAAGTACTACTAAGAGTGAAAGCTGGAACCGTTCGCACTTTCATATTTAGGGACTACCTGTTTCTCGTTATTCAGCCTCTGGCGTGTAGACATAGTTAACTCTCGACATTTGAATGGAATAAACTTGTTTGTACCTTGTACTGTAGTGCTCTAACCCTACATTTCTCAGTTACTGGTTTTTTCAAAACAGTCATTATGCCTTGCCTCTTATTATTTAGGCCAGGGTCATCTCCTTTTCTAACGTGGGAACTTTTAATACATCATCACAATTTTACTAGTTTAGCAGGAAGAATCACGCAAACTAATTTTTATACGTATTAGTAAGATGCTGAAACAAACTGGGGGGAGGGCTTTATCAGAATTTGTGGTATGGTAGTGATTAATAGTAATGTTTGTTATCTGTTTCACTGTTAAAAAGAACTGCAGTTTAAAGCTATGGCTTGTGAGCCATCACAATATTCAAACAGCCTAATTCATCCTCCCTAAATGAATAAAAGTGGATTTTATTTTCGTTACAAACGATAATTTTTTTAAGTAGGTAAAAAGTTTTTATATAGTTTCAACAACGAAAAAAGAAACAGAGCACTGACTCAAATAACCGTTAAATGGAGAAGAAAGAATAGCTGAAATAGACGTTTTTAATGATCATCTTGCGTTGTGAATTGCGAAGAGACGACAATTCGGTGCACTGATATGAAGCTCTTTTATAGTGAGTTATCTATTTTATTTGTACAAAACGCGTCAAACTTGTTTAATGATTAAGTGTATTTACGAAACAATATAAATGATCAGTACAAGTAATTATCAATATTAAACAACAAAAACTGGATGTATATAAAAGAAATACTCTGTACTGAAACAATCAACCAGTGCAAGTTATATTTACAAGCAGTACTCTGTACTGAAACAATCGGTACATGTTATATTTACAAGCAGTGCTCTGTACTGAAACAATCGGTACATGTTATATTTACAAGCAGTGCTCTGTACTGAAACAATCGGTACATGTTATATTTACAAGCAGTGCTCTGTACTGAAACAATCGGTACATGTTATATTTACAAGCAGTGTTCTGTACTGAAAAATCGGTACAGGTTATATTTACAAGCAGTATTCTGTACTGAAACAATCAATCAGTGCAAGTTATATTTATAAGCAATACTCTGTACTGAAACAATCAATCAGTGCAAGTTATATTTATAAGCAATACTCTGTACTGAAACAATCAATCAGTGCAAGTTATATTTATAAGCAGTACTCTGTACTGAAACAATCAATCGGTACAGGTTATATTTACAAGCAGTACTCTGTGCTGAAACGACCAATTAGTGCAGGTTATATTTACAAGCAATACTCTGTACTGAAACAATCAGTGTAAGTTATATTTACAAGCAATACTCTGTACTGAAACAATCAGTGTAAGTTATATTTACAAGCAGTACTCTGTATTAAAGCACTGTAATTACTCTGTGTCTGTGGGTTTTTCTAGACTATACGAAATAAATGAATGTGTAAATATGAACAAAACTGAACATAAGTCGTTATATCACTGGTTTCCCCATACTCGCAACCCGTTGTATTTCATAGCATAATGAATAATTGTTTTATCATTTTAGATCTCTTCAAAACTGCAGAGACAGCTGTTGACATCCCAGTGACCTTGAATGTAACTCACAGCTGCAATACAGTTGAGTAATTTTGTCCACCACTCTAATCAAATTCCTGTCTGAGCTCGAACACATATGGACGGTCATAATACTCGTCTTTCGATTGGGGGAGGTGGGAAAACATTACATTTACTGAAACAGGTCTGAGAGTAAATAAATTAATTATTAATGCCTCACATAAAATCATAATTATTAGTGCCACACATAAAATCATAATTATTAGTGCCCAACATAGAATCTACGTGATTATCGAACTTTTTTATTATGTAATCACTGTTGAAGTTGGTCTTAGAAGGTATGTGAATATGTGTATATTCCTTCGTATGTGGACTTAATTGCTTAAAAGTGGACACATACTATGGTCTCGAGTACATGAATACGTATTGAGGAAGAGTACATATTATAATTGGTATCCGTTTTCTGGCTCCAATTATTTTTCGTAACGTTTTCTTTGAGTGCTAGAAAAATAATACCGATGTGTGTGCATAGCGTGTAGGTATATACGGACGTGCAACAACACTACCACCTGTCGCATTTGTTCCTACTTGTACATCTTCCCGAAAGATGACAGCACTAGTCATAGAGGGCAGCACCAGAACAGGTGGAATACCGAGTAGAGACAACTATTCTGAGTGGTAGTCTCCAGTCTGAAACTCTCTCCAGCCAAGCTGTCAGCACGGAAAGACACTTCCGAGTGTTTCTGCTGCTTGTTAGAACCTCAGTTGTGGCGCAACGTCGGTTTTTTTCGCCCGTCACACCACATTTTTGGTGTACTTTCATACCCGTTTGCCGGCGAATCTGAACAAAAATGTAACGTGTGTATTTCCTGCTCTCTTCAGACGAGGGAATGATCTGACAAAAGAAACTAATCATATCTGTCTGTGGTCTGCTAGAATTGATGAGATTTCACTATCGTTGAAAAGTAAATGACACTGGTTGCGCAAGTGTTTGTAGATTAGTCACTAACTATTGCTAATGTTTTCGTAAACGCTTCAAAGTTTGCTCGCCGATGTTTTCACCTGTAGCTTCTGTACATGTACAGTGTATGTGAAAGGACTTCATTCAGGCTGACGTCAAACTGAAATAAGAACCGCACGTTATCCGATGATGACTACATGTTCTCGTGTGACGAGGTTGATAAACCAATTTTTCGTGTGGTTCTTAGAAAATTCGGCACGTAACTGAAACTATCAAGTTCTGTTACTGTCTTCTGGTAACCACATATATATATTTTTCGAAAATCTAAGATGTCAGTTCCGTATGTGGGTGGTATCAGCTTTTCTTACTAACTTGGCATCCAAACTGCCTAGCTGTAGACGCACGTCGCTTGGTCGGACGGTTTAAGTCAACACAGCTGTAGCTGGCGGTTCCTTCTGTGTGAAACATACTAAACACGTGACATACGACCTCTACTGAGGATAGAAAGTGTGAAAACATGGTAAGTCTGTGGGTTGCTTGCATGTAGTAGCACTGTTTGTTCAGTGTGTAATTATAATTTCGGTTTGAGTTTTCAGGTTTATCCGTTATGTTACGTATGTTTAGTTATCTTAGTCGTTTTGTTGTTAGTTTTGCGTTTATACAAGTTTTGGTTCTATATAATCCTATTGAGTATTTGGAAGAAACTACTCAAAATTAGTTCAAAATGCAGTTCCAATACAGTAATTTTTTTTTTTTTTGAAGTATTGAAATAGAACCTATTTAATAGGTGAACAGTTCGCGGGCGTGAAATAATGGCTTTGGAATGGGATCTCTTAATCAGCCTCAACTTGTATCTACTTAACAAGGGAAATCCATAAATATATAATGAAAAAGTACTGGTACCCTAAAATAGATGTATCGTGAATTTAATTACTTCATTGATCAGTCACTTATGAAATCAAAATTAACGTCTAACAATAACTTTGCATAGAACAATCATTAAGAGCAAACGCTAACTGAAAACCAACTTTATTAGCTGATGGAGATAACATAGTTACAGGGAGAATCAGTATTACAGTAGATGTACGCACGTGTCTATTAAGGCCAAGGCAGTCATTGAAGTCTCATTTTGACCCCCCCCCCCTTCCCCCAATGCAGCTGATTTTATAAACAAGGGGAACGAAATTTATATTTATTTTAAGAACGGAAACGCAGTTTCCTTTCAATTCGAGCACTAAACTGTATAGGTTCTATACTGGTTCTTTTTTCTTTTTTTCCTTCACGAAGTTGAAGTTTCCTCCGTTCGAGGACTGAACTGTATAGGTTCTATACTGGTTCTTTTTTTCTTTTTTTTCCTTCACGAAGTTGAGGTTTCCTCCGTTCTAGGATTGAACTGTATAGGTTCTATAATGTTTTTCCTTCACGAAGTTGAGGTTTCCTCCGTTCGAGGACTGAACTGTATAGGTTCTATAATATATATATATTTTTTCCTTCACGAAGTTGAGGTTTCCTCCGTTTGAGGACTGAACTGTATAGGTTCTATAATTTTTTTTTTTCCTTCACGAAGTTGAGGTTTCCTTAGTTCGAGGACTGAACTGTATAGGTTCTGTACTGGTTCTTTTTTTTCTCTTTTTTTTTTCCTTCACGAAATGAGGTTTCCTCAGTTCTAGGACTGAATTGGATAGGTTTGATATAGTTTTTCTTGTTGTTGTTTTGCCCCACGAACTTTGTGTCCAGTTGTAGAGGGAGAAGTATACAGGTTGTTATGACTATTTTCAATTAAGTGCTTATTTCATCTTTGTGCTTGCATGAAAATTTTTGATGTATTCTTACAACTACGAGTGAATTTTGCAAAAATCCCCGAATATCTGCACGTAACATACTGTACAAATAAAAAAAATAATAACCGTGTAATGTGTAGCTGATGACACCGTAAGGCTGTTGGTTATTGCTATGTACCTTTGTTATTTGAGGGAAGATAAGATGTATACGTTTGTATTTATGAAAATTCCAATGAACAAAAGTGTGGAATGAGAAGTGGCGGGAATTAAGTAGAACTCCCTATTTTTTACAAAATCTGATACCTAGCCGTTTGTAGTCAATAACAACGTTCATAAACTGTCACAATGTTCATCTAATTTTGTGAATATTATCCAAGGATTAATCTTGAATCATCAGGTCTACCAGCGTAAATGCTTTTTGCTCTGTTTTTTTTTTCTTCTTCTTTTTTGTTTTGTTTTGTTTAAATACTTTATGACTGGCAAGTTAAAAACACTACCTCTAACCAGTTGTTCCAAACCAAATTTTATAATAATCACTTAATACATGCAGTGCTGATGCACAGCGTTTAGTGTTGATCGTGCTGTTCCTGTGAACGTGTTATTTGAGACTTTATAGCGAATATTCATTACGTAAAACCACAAATTCGTAAGAGTTGGATATACTTAGGCATCTAGCTATCTAGGCATGCGTCCACATACTCTAATGTTTGTAAAAATCTCCGAGACTGAGAGGTACAAGAGCTTGTGAGAGTGATTGCTGTCGTCTGTACCTCCATTAAAATATTGAAGTTTTATCAATGCAATTGTATTAACGTAATGTCATTTTAACTGTTGGGACAAATTGATAAATGTAGAACGAAATGAAATGTGTATTGATAGGAATGTTGTGTAGTTCGCTGTTTAACCGCTAGTGCAGTACATGTGAGTGGCGCTGCGATCGCTTTTGTTTATTTAATAGCTTGTATTTCATCGTTAGTCATATTCCTATCAAGTGTCCACGATATAACATTAACTTCACCATATGACGTCTTAATAGTAATGCGTGTAACTGGCTGATTGTCTTAAGAATGTTTTGCGACAAAAAGCACCTGGATGGCCAAAAATGGCGGATGCAATATTTATTGTTCTGCTTTTGTACGACATTGAGAAAACGAATATAAACTCTACCAACAACTGAAACTTTACGAGCGCAATGGGGTGTGGGAGCGATCTCGTCCCTTAAACGCGAGTGACTGCGTTCAATGTCACACATATAGACTCGTACAGGGGAAAAAAAACTCCTTGGTATCACCCTAAAGTAAGACGATACCAATATCTTACAGGTGAATGCATTCCTTGGCATCTCATTATAACTTAAGTGATATACAGTAACAATACTTTATAGGAGAAAGTATTTATTGGCATCACTTTATACGTTAGATAACATACAATAGCTATCTCACAAGAGAAAGTGTTTATTGGCATCGCCTTATACTTTAGATAATACACAATGACTATCTCACAAGAGAAAATGTTTATTGGCATCTCCTTATACTTTAAATAACATACAATAGCTATCTCACAAGAGAAAATGTTTATTGGCATCATCTTATACGTTAGATAACACACAATGACTATCTCACAATAGAAAGTGTTTATTGGCATCTCCTTATACGTTAGATAATACACAATGACTATCTCACAAGAGAAAGTTTTTTTTTTGACAATCATATTCTTCCATAACAGTTTATTCAAGTACGTCGTATATTTTTACTGGTATGTAACCAAATTACCCCTTGTTATAAACGAGTTATTTTCAACTGTACAGACTAAGAACTATATTAATATTTCCTCAAGAACACAAAACTCGCTTTCATATCGATACGATTATGTATTAATCGGCTATACATTGGCTAATTGAACTGGTATTGGAGTAGGGGGCAATTAATTACTTAAAACTTACATTAAGCTTCTATCAAGTTGTTGTGGTATTTTCATGAAGGGAAAAACGAAGCCTAGTAAATAAGACAATAACGGTAACTTGACGATAAACCTTTTAATAAACGGGTGAAAGTGTTATTTGTCTTGATAACGTTGTTGCCCATAGGTGTTATTGGTTTAATTTGAATTATTTACATTTATTTAATTAATTATTATCTTTATTTCCTAAACGCCACGAATTCACTCGTTCTTCTTTGCTGGCTAAAAGTAATACATCGTTTTATTTGTAACTGTAAATGATAGTTGAATTAGTGGCATCTGAAGAGCGTCGTGGTTACTGATTTTTCCCCCTATCTTTCTGACAGATGTCAGCTGATTTATACCACAATTCTTGTGATTCAGTTCAAGTGGTTGTCTATATGTTATGTAGAGGTAAACTTTATTTTTTTCCCCATTGACACAGCAGATAGAAACCCAACAGTCAACAATTTATAGATGTATGTTCGAACTCACATTTCGACTCAAAAGCTTTAGTTTATACAGTATATGAAAAATAAAACTGCTTTGAATTTTAAAATTGAAATTTACTTAACATTTCACATTGGTTTTAACTGTTCGACTAGTCCCACATTAGAACGTCTCTGATTCTCCAAATCGTATTTAAATCCGCTCATCTGCCTATTAAACCGTTATCAAATGTGCACGTGGTGCGCGTGGTAATAACGTTTTAAAGTCATCTGTTTTGAAAATTCAGTCTACACCAATAAAGTAATCATAAGACACGAAAAATTATGCTTAGATTTATAACGCTTAAAAATGTACTGAAATTACAGAACTTCGTTGTATATATAAATGGAAAGGATATCGAGATTCGTTACAGAAAATTTTAATTTTTTCAATTGGGGTGGGGGAGTGGGTTGGAGGCAAAACAGTAAGGTATGTATCATGTTATGCTTGTATATGCAAGCCACTGTTCCCTGGTGACATTTTAAGAAATCATGTTATTGTTACATTGTCAGAAGTATTTTTTACGTTGTACTTTGTTTATATTATTTCGTATTTTTGTTGTAGTTTAGTAAGTTACAATAGTATTAACTTTATAACCCTACATATGAAAAAAATTTAGGAATTTTCTAGTTGTTCATTTTTAAAAGTTTTCTGTTACAACTTTGAAATAATGAATGTTAATTCAATGTTCTTTATTAGTTTCAAATATTATTTGAGATTTCAAACAAAATATGTGCAGTTTTTTTAGGATGTAAACTTAATAAAATAACCCAGATAATTATTACTTTTTACTGTCATCAGCGCCCTCTACTGAACTTTATTCTCTGAAATCTTACATTACCTCGTAATCAACCGGTCTTGTTAGTAAAAAGAAAAAATTCATTACAAAATTTCGAAATGGAGCATCTTGTTATCAACAACTGGATTAATATTATTCTTTAGAAAGACATGGAAAGTATTCAAGGACATAGTTCACAGGATATTTTCTCCTTAAATGCAGTAACAGAAATGTCTTTGTAGGCGTTGATCCAGTTTTAATAAAAATACAAGTAATGGTCTCAAGTATAGCTTAAAATTAGGTTTCATTAGGAAATAAACGTTAAATATTTTTCCAATATTAATATACGAGGTATATTTAATTCACCGAGTTTAGCCTTTTTAAACCAAGTCTTACAAAATATTGGAAGTTTTTGAGATATATCTACCATGTGTATCACTTTGTAAATTTCCATTAAAGGCTTTGTCTGTTGACGTTAATTGTATTCTCAATCCGTCTGTAATCGAAAATCTGTCACTAGAAGAGTTTAACCCC